CTTGACTAATCAGTTTAAAAAACGTTCCGTCCCGAAAGAAGCTAAGCATCTGGTTATGACAAAACATACGCTTTCAGCTGTAGCAAATTAACTAATTAGTACAGAGCATCCTCTTATACAAAAAGAAGTCGATCGATCACATCAAAGTGACCTTTATACTTCAGCCTAACAAAACTTCTAACCTATCAGACGACGTTTATCAAGTCATCAGAAGAAAAAGAGTCAACTAACCACAACTAAGCTATCTCAGCGTGATGCAAACAAACACCAGAAGCTGGAGAGTGACCAATCAGGTTCAAGGTACGCCCACATGGTCACCAAGAAACCCATTAGTTTACAGTCAGGTATCCACGCCCATCTCTACTTCCTTGTGAAGCTCCAGGGCACTGGTAGTGATGTCTAGCATGCCACTCACACGTTTGCTTACTAAATTCCCATTTCATGGAGCAACTCACTCTGAACAAACCCTAATTTTTTTATATACTTGTAAGGAAGAAGTAGCTAATTCCATTAAAAACGCCTTAGCAGATATTATTATTTGTAACCGATGAACTTAGCGTCAACATATAGTGAGAATGAATCCAACTGATGGCTTTCCCTCTTGAAAGTATTCTAATTTTTTCTTCGAAAAATAACAGAAACACAGTTAAACTGAAAACAGTTATCCTCTTGAATAAATCATCTTCATACGTGTACACAGACAGATTCGAGGGAACAAAATGTTCCGAAAGATTTTCTGGTTAATTTTCAAAAGCAGCAGAGGACTATTAAAAAGACATAAATGCGGAGCTAGAGAATAACAAATAACATGGAGAACAGTTTAAAAATAGTGAAATTCGGTGAATGAAATTATGAAAAAAGTAGCAACAGAATCAACCAGCCAGTGAAATTAATTCTGTAGAAAAATGCGAGAAAAAAATCATGAAATGTAAAGGACAAGTTAGAAGAGGTAATTTTAAGGCCATAGAAAGGAAAGGAACTGAATCTATTTCGACTTTATAACTGAGACCTTAACTGGTAGATTGCTAATTCTGTAGCTGTACAGAAATGATTTTATCCACATCCCTTTTTAACTATTCTGTCAAACTTTGTGGAGGCCGTCAGATGATTTTTTTGTAAGAAAATTACTCTCTCGAGTTCGCTACTTCTAAACGAAAAGTTGAGCGGTAAGGGTGAGCAGTGGTCACGAGCGTCTGTGGTGAGTGCACAGTATCTCCACTGTAATCACCCCTACAGGAGCATATAAACTTGGAAATACATACTGTTGAAACTGAGTACATTAGCATGCTCTTTACACATTTATATACCCTGATTTTGCCTGCTTTTGGCCTGATATTATCTTTAAACCCTAAAATAACTTTATTATTGCTGTTCCCAAGCCTTCTTGGCACCGTGGCTAGCTTTTATATTTCCCACTGCTTCGGAAGGCTGAACTCTCATTGGTTACTAACTCTTTTATCTTATCAGTTAATTTCGTGTTTTTTGAAGTCCTTTAGGATTATTCTATTTAACATCTCTCTCAGCTGTTTTGACTGTTGTTAGAACATCAAAAGCTGTCTGTCAACAGCCCATTTTCTCTTCTTGTTTTTGCGTGCCGGTGATGGAGTTGTTGTTGCAGTGGTTGACGTTCATATTGTCGATTAGAGTAGATACTTTTGCGCGTTACCTTCATATCTCTGGCAGACTGCTAGGTCGCACTACTAGTCACACAGGATTGGTGACAGGGGTGGGATTTAAAAATGGACAAATCATGCTAGGAGAAACTGACAAAGCAGCAGCTCAAAATGGTGAAGTAGCCTGCTGGCTTATGGATACCATCCCCAGCCGATTCATCTCTAGACAGTGACAACACTGGGAACATCATTTCAGAATTCTTCTGTGATCCGAATGTAAACTTAACGTGTAAAATATGATTTCACAAATTAGAAGACCTGTTCAGCGAAGATTTTATAAACAGAGACGACTCGTAGAAAGTCTGACTGTTGCTTAAGAAGTTGGGAGCGGACGAACTGGATAAATATTATAAGTTTATCCTATCACGAAAACCTGATGATAGAACGTTCATGAGACGGTGCAGACACTACATCATCAGTTTTGTGACCACATGTTTTTGTTTAACATACTTTAATACTGCATGAAGATCATCTAGTCTAGTGTACAGAATGCAGCAGAAGTACATGTACATCCAGTACCATCGACGTTGAACTCACCAGACTCATAGAAAGTCAGAATATTGCGTCAGGAGTTGGGAGTTAATTGGGTGAATAAATACTGTGATTCGGTTTTACCACAAAAACCTTATGACAGAACGTTCCATACGAAAGTGCAGACACTTCATAACCAATTTAGGTGACCACATGTTTTTGTTTAATATACTTCACCATTGAATGAAGCTGGTGCTGAACCAAAACGATGATATTCACATGCAGTTAGGTATAGTTAAGTGCAACTGTGAGTGTTTCAAGTTGAAATCACTTTAACAAGATCACTTTAAAGTCGTGATCTTCATTTTTAGGCCAAAGCCCCAAAGTCTGTCGATATACGAGCATCCTTATTGATTAAATTAGAACAGAATCTATAATAACTTTGGAGGAAAATGGAGAAGAATAACAGCGGTCAACAAACCTTCTCAAAGATACCACCACTGATCCAATTTGGCTGTCGGAGTGCAACAGAAGTAAATATGGTACACACAGTACCATCGATGTTGAAACCACTGTAAAGGAAAACATTTACAGCATGCTGGCGCTATGGCGCTTTGTTCTAGGTGAAATTATACCAGTTTAAACACAATAAATGCTGACGATGCCATACCATTAGACACAAAACTGGTTACTGTAAACAGTATAAACGACAGAAGTCTAAAAGCCAATCCCATCGAATTCCCTTACAAAATTTATGAATAATACAGCCACCTATAACATCAGCACTGGTGCGGCATGTAAAAACAAACACTTCATGATCGAAACACAGCTAGCACATGTTTAGAAAGACGCTGCGCCAGGAATGATAATAATATCGAAGGATTCATGGTAAAAACTGAGAAGACCTACCATGTAGAAGACAAATCAGACGGCAATGAACGAATGCTGCAGAAATCCCGACTAAGTGAGTGAGTAAAGGGTAGTGCCGGTCTCAGTGTGCCCAAACTGCTTGGTACATGCTGCGTAAGTAAGCAATTTGAACATAGATTTGTTGAAGATGAACAAATTTGAAGAACAAAATGCACTTCAAATAAAGGTGAATTAGTCACGAACTCGAAAAGAATCGAAGATCTGCAGTAAAGTGTATGTTCTGTTCACAAACAAACACATGAGTTCATTCAAGATAACTAAGGTGCTTTCTCCTCTCGACTAGAGTCTATGTAGAGAGATTTCCAATAAGTCCAGATTGTTCTGTTCTCAAACCCTACTCTCCTACACATTTCAGTCTACAAATCTAGCTGGGCAAACATTCCATAACAGTATTTCATAGGAATATTCTGATTCTTCCTTGACAATGTCATCAGCAAACATCTTTGATTACCTTGAAGAGAAGGAGTATATGGAATTTTTTTATAACCAGCTATGTAAGCTGGTTATTTACGCCTTCCAGGAAAGTTTCCTGAAGATAGATAACAGAATACAGCACAACCAAGATTTTTTGAAAATATTTGGCAATTGACAGTTTAAAGTCAGAGGTATGCATCGAAAATCAATTTGTTAAACCTTTTTCATTACTTTGATTCTAAACGGGTTGACTATCCAAGGCATCTGAAAATATTGAACATTAATCACTGAAGTCGAATTCTTCCAAATGTCTCCAATTTAAGTTCTACTTTGTTTACCACTATTACTATGACTAGTATTGTTTACCTTCATATCACATAAACTTAGATTAAAATCTTTGAATTAGAGTAGTGTTACGTTCAGCTATCATGTTCCCTTAAGTAAACAAATAACACAAATAAGCAGTACGACTCGTTCCCTCTGTAATTCAGGTAGACATCGGTTTGAACGAGAAAGCCTAGCTGAGAAGTTGGTTTGATTATCGTAAACAGACAGTAACTTAACACTTTGACAAAACCCTCAGCAAGTGGATTTAGTTAGCACAGCGTTTGGCTGCTGGTTCAAATCCTGTTGTGGACATGGTGCATATTTCACCTTCAAACATAACTCATTATCGATAATATCAATCTGCTGAACTACGGTTATCTCAGATAGTTCCGTCAGGTGTAAATAACACTGTAGTTTCACAAACATATAAATATTCCAATATATTGTAATGTATTTTGCGATTTCTTTTTACCTTACAGACAACAGTAAATATCGATTTTATCAACACATCTCACTATCATAAAATCTCCTCAAGCTCGCCGACACACACACACACACACAGGGATTTCACTCTGAGAGGAATTGGTATCTTTACGGTTTCACAGCTTTTGGAAGTAAGTTCCTGTAAATAACTTCCTTTTTTAGACTATTTATTTCAATTAATATGATATGGTTTGCCTGATATCATGCTTTAAACACCCATAGGATTTAAGATTTTTCGTAAACTTAACACAAGGTTACCATTTGTTGATATGTTGCTAGTACTCCATTGTTTTATTATATCGAATTCTTCCACCTCTACTGGCATATGGACCCCTATGCGGATGTCTCGATATTGCCTGAAAACCACTCATTGGGATGTAGGTACATCCAGATGACGAATCCCAAATAAGACGAAACGTGCGTCCTGGATTCCACTGCTAGTCATAACCAAATAAGTTATCACAAACACAAGACACCTAAATTCAGTGCCTTGATCATTTCTAGTAGGGTCTGATGTGTTGTTTGTCATATTCTAGGTGGCTGTTTGTCATACAAGTTATAGCTGCATTTTGTAGAACCTTTCAGCAGTTTACTGTACATTTTCCAAGACATTAATAGTGGAGACTATTTGTGACTGATGCAGTTCGTACTGCTACAATGAGCATTTGAAAGCAGCTTATTTTCAGGAAAATATTTAGTTAGATGGACGTCTGCATTGTAACTGATTTTGCTGTAACAACCCTATGCTGTGGCTTGGGAAGAGGAAAATATTCCCTCATTAAGGTAAGTAATTCTCATTTATTAGTTACAATAACTTTAAGATCACGATATTGAGATTCCTGGGGGTTGACTTAAGCAAGCCAGCTAAGGAACAAACTTACTAATCTATACATTAACTCAATTTACTAGTTACAAGCGACGAGTTGAGTCATAAAGCTTGCTGGACACGAAACGGTGGAATACGTCAATAATAAGTATCAGGTCATGAAGCGTCGTTGATTTCACCTGGCATTCACTTTTCTCACGACTTGGAAAATGTTATTTCATGCAGTTTAAAAAACTGCTTAAAACAGATAGTTGTAACTTTTGTGTCTGGAAGGTTATTCATAGACATCTCGAATAAGTCTGTGTTGAAAACACACATCTCAATGACAATAAAGCTTTAGCCTGCAAAGCGGCCAATAAACTAACCAACTAGAAACCTCAAATTATGCCTTGGGATGTACAATTTTAAATTAGTTATTAGCCAGAGAAAGATTTTGCTCATAACATTAACTATAAACAGTATGTCTATAAAACCACATGTTAAGTGGTGGATTTTGTGAATAATATTGAACTACGTATTCGAAACTGAATGGCTGGTGTTAACCACATCCTGTCACTTACTAAGTCATAGAGACAGATGTTCTTGAATACAGTGAACGATATGCATCGACGAACTGTTAACACAAATACCTCCATAGCAGAAGGTGAACTGACAAGTACATAACTAACTAGTAAGTTGTTGTAGCTTAATCTTCACAGTGGACTACGATATGTTATTCTAAGGATCACTGCGTGAGACTCTGTGCGAGACACTGGTTACAGACGGAATTTCTAGGAGTACTATCTGCAGTTTTCCTTTTGAATTCTATATTCAAATATATTACCTTCTTCGAAACAGTAGCGGTACTTCTTAAAGTGTTCGTGCGTTTCATATCATTACGGTTTGTACAACTGAATAGGTTTTGAAAACAAATCCTTTGAAAATCATATACCTCAATGAGCTGTTTATTGTATGAGTTAATAAGCGTACTTATTGCAATCTGCATAGTTATTCGTTGACACCGCTGGTTATCCACCGGTTATTATACTGCACTGAAACTATCGGTTTCTGTTGGTGTATAGGCTCGCCTGTAGATGCGTTGGATGATACCTGGAGATTCATTAGAATGAGTTCGAGAATGAACTATTGAGCATTGAAGAAAGATAGAAGAGGAGCTCTCCTCGGAAACTCTTTGTAGAAAAGTGATCTAATAAGACTATTTTGCTGAATAATGGTTTCAAATTTATGTTTGAGAGCATCCATGCAATTGATGGTCTTGAAATGCATGTTTCTGGCTCTGAACAAACAGGTAATATTATATTAGCACACACACCTGATTATATGCAGCATACTGCAGTTTATGTAATCAGAAAATGACAGTTGACTGCAGGTTTTTACCTCAAAAGAAGCTTTCAAATGAAGTTTGTGAACTTGTAGTTTTCCGAATAAGCCACTTTAGAGTCTCCGCATATGAAGCTTCTCGATTTAACAGAAATGTGAAATATTTTGAATGAGATCGGGGCTCCATTTTTGATTGGTGGACCATACCACACAACCAATTCAGTCATCATTTTCGACAGAGTAACATTTCACAACGTATGAATACTACAACTAAACAGTCATTTCAACATATGTGTGAAAAACCATCCTGAGGACGGGTTCCTTGAACAGATGATTGTCTTCCTCACAACAGCTTTCTCTTTTATTCGAATAATGAATGTTTATATTTAGTTATTTGAAGGATTACAGGAACCTTACTTCTGTGTGGGAGGTGGACAACCTGGAAGGGAAGATGTCAAAATGTCTTAACTGTAAAAACGTACTGAGTGACAAGAATTCACCGACTGTTTCATAATAACCTTCGGCATAAATATGCCATTCTAAATTCGAGTCGTATGTAACAGCCTTACCTGAATCACATCGGTGCTATCCAGTCTCATATGCCAGATTTTGGGTGTAATAGATGAGAGGTTAAACACCTCGTTTAAATCCTCCATTTAAGCGAGAAAGGAATCGGAATAGTGTGAAGTGATGTTAGCAGAAGACTTGGGAAGAGTGTCAGATGGATAGACTGAAAGATGGTAACCTTGTTCACCTGAAAAGTAAGCATGCACTTGAACGACTGCATAGCTGTTCTGTATATGAATGCAGACCTTACTTTTTGACAGTGAATTCAATAATTTCAGATTACATCGACATGAATATCGAGCTTGGAAATTTGATCAGGGAAATTGTGGATCGAATCAAGGGGTGTGGTATTTATTTTGTCAGCTTCAGAAGAACTTTAAATTTTTGTCTGCAGTACCCAAAGAATAACCACAGGCATGGAAACAGCCCAACAAATCATTTGCATCATCTGGATGGAATCAGCAAAGTCAAAATCTTAAGACAATGGGCCCAGATTGCGAGGCTTGCAACCAGTCATAACCAGCTTACATAGCTGGTTATAAAAAAATTCCATATACTCCTTCTCTTCAAGGTAATCAAAGATGTTTGCTGATGACATTGTCAAGGAAGAATCAGAATATTCCTATGAAATACTGTTATGGAATGTTTGCCCAGCTAGATTTGTAGACTGAAATGTGTAGGAGAGTAGGGTTTGAGAACAGAACAATCTGGACTTATTGGAAATCTCTCTACATAGACTCTAGTCGAGAGGAGAAAGCACCTTAGTTATCTTGAATGAACTCATGTGTTTGTTTGTGAACAGAACATACACTTTACTGCAGATCTTCGATTCTTTTCGAGTTCGTGACTAATTCACCTTTATTTGAAGGGCATTTTGATATAGCGTGCTTCATCGGTTTGTATTTGCTGAGCAGATATTTTTGGGCATACTTTGCGTTCATTTGCCATAAGAACTCCTGATCGTTTATCAGCTGACTACTGAGTTATTTGGTTTTTGTGTATTAAGCTCATGTGATTTAGTTTTCATCAAAATATCTTGTGAGGTCCTCGACAAATTTTGACCGATTACTCGTAAGTAAATGTGTATGAAAACATTTGTTTTATGCTTCGGATTTGGCAATCTACAAGTTGAGGTACTGGCTATGAAGCCAAACGTGGTTCATCATCAACTTATCTAGTCTTTATGTAAGACGGTCACCTTCCATATATAACTGTAGTAGCATACATTTTTGCGGCTGTACGTCAACTATTCGGAGGTAATTAAGGATAATGGCCAGCAGCGGAATGCAATATGCGCATTTCTTCCTATTTAGGACTCACCAGCTGGATGTGCTGTCTCTCGAAACAATATCGGTCCTTAAAAACGCCAGACACTCATCCACTATTTTTAAGCATGCGCACGATAGCCCGTTTACCATTAGAGGCCGATCATTTTGGTCCAGTCAGTGGCCTAAACTATGTCCTAGTTTTCTAGGTGCATGAGTTCTCGAGACCTTTATACAACCGTTGTTCTTCAACAACACCAATGTTGAGTGGAATGTGCATTGAAAATTGGTCCTGAAAAGCATCTTGTCATCAAACATAGAATCCTGTCTTCTTAGTTGTTTTGTTCAAAATTATCCAGCTTATAAACTTTTGACGAGTTAGAGGTCATTCAATACCTGATGAAGCCAAATTTGAAGTGAAGTGTTTGCATAGCTTAAGTCAACTGACTGTTGTAAAGCGTCATCTCAAATTACCCACTACTCATAGGTTAACATCAGTGTTGCTGTCTGAGTGTTACAGGTGCAAAAGAGACATCGAAAATTTTATCATTTTTTCTAATGTCAGTAAAATTTTGACGAAATACTTTTTGTTACTACCAGGAGTAGTTCCACCTTTGTGACAGTAGACCTAAATTCATATTGCTAAATGATATTCCTTATTCTCTGTTTCTCTTCCAGGAATATGATTTGGGAGTGCTCTACTTGGATTAGGATATTTAAAATCCTTATACTTGCTGAAATGGAGCGACGTATGCATTAAATCGTACAATCATCTCCAGCCTCTTGGGTTTCCGGATTCAAGACATTATATTGAAGTAGAAGACATCTGTTCTTTAGTCACATGAATTACTAATCGCGGTGGTTCCTAAGTTTTTGTTGTGCTTTCAAACTTGCTATGACTGTGCAATCTATCTAAGCCGATCCCAAGTGAACTAACTTTATTCGTCTATGAGCTTCCTCACACCAACTTAAGCCAGGTAGCATGAATTCGTTTAGCCTGAGACGCATGCGAATATTAATGTTATAGGTAATTTCAATATGTGACCACGTCCTTCCTGTTATGGCTCTATGGGACTTGAACAGTGTCTGGATGCAGTTCAAGGACTTTTATGGATAGATTTGTAAATTATAGTCATGCAATATGTATACATGTTTATTTCTGAAAAATTTGATCTATGTATTTACATGCGAAAAAGGAACCTATTTACATTCAGGACAATAATTCGTTCTCACCAATTTTCAATAATAATTTGTGTGAAACGATTTTTTTCCTAAAAGGTTAATCTTCGATCGTATTTTGTGAATAAGAGTGAGATGAACTTTTTGTGTGCATAATGTTCTTGTACAACATTGATCACTGAACAATTTACTTGAGAAAATTAATACTTTTTTTAAACACACGGTAAATTTATTTTTACCACAAATTTAAAACATGGAAACGTTAAGTTAAAAGTACTTTGAAGCGACTGATAGGCTATATTTTCCATTGGATTGCACTGGTTGGTCAATTATATGACCAATGTTAATCAAAGTATAGAATCAGCGAATCAAAATGACAATATCACTTACATTCTGAACATGTAAACAATTTTTACACAGTTGAATTTGACTCAATTACTTCTTAGTAGCTAACGGAACCTAGCGGAATTCGCTTTGGAACTAATTCCTTACAGAAGGTTATTTTAGAAACTCATTAATTTAACCAAAAATCAAAATGGATACATGTATGTAATTATTACAAATGATTTGAAATGCATATAATTAGTTGTTTAGTTATATTGTTTGTCTGTAAGCTGATAGACTCAAATGCTGAAAACGATTTTAATCAAATTGATTCACCCACAATTATTGATACATTGACCTTTCCTTTAGTGATAGATGAACTAGATTTACCACCCAGAAATCAACAACTCCCTATCAAAGAGCATCCAAAATATGAAAGTTTACATTCATCAAATGTAGTCACACAACAAGAAGACAATTCTCGTCAGACTACTCGTAAATCTAGATATCTCGACAAACAGAATGAACAAAGTGAATTTAATTATTCACTTTTTGAAGTTGGTGAATCTGCCTGTCCAAATGTTTATTGTTATGCAAAACGTCAATCTTTGACTAATGAACTCATGTTCGACTGTAAAACACAATTATCTGAACTTGACAATAAGGATACAATGATTGGTTGTCATTTTTGGCGAGTACCATCACCAGGTACAGATACAAATCATCCACTTCAGTCGAAACGACATGGTCAAGGATTTGATCTACGCATTGTTCTGCAACCGGCTACAGTTGGTGCTGAAGAAGTTTCCAAAACAAATGGAATTAAAAGACTTCGTATTGGCCAGTTAAAACCAGGTATACTGGAATGGATTGTTCAGATGGTACGATCAAGTTCGAAGATGACATTGAGTCCGGTTCATTTGACAATATCATTTATTTATTTTAAAAATCTTGGTCGTAACGACTTAGGCAATCTTCCTACTAAATCACATGTGACACGTTTGAGCTTATGGAATCCTTTCAGTTGGGATGAGGATAGCTTCATACCTTTTATAGACCAGAAATCAGAATCTTTAACTGATGGAGTATATACAACAAACATACCACCTTACTTCCGTCTTTCCATATTTTGCGATTATGAAAATCAAAACTCATCATTTAAGCGTTTATGGTTCCCATGGAAAAGTTGGCAGCTACGTCTGAGTCACTGCTCAGATCTTTACGTTTGTAGATTGTGGTATGGTAAATACCCTATATGTGACACGAAATATACCAGTAACAATAATGATATACCCATGAAAACCTTTGTGCCATCATATTTCATCTCACCAAAGTCACTGTTGAATACATCTCACTTCACGAGACAAGAGACTGGTATGCAAATTTTATACAACAATCAATGTCAACTTGAACCTGATCAGTCAGATCCTGTCGGTGACTTGAAGTTAGATCATCGTGGTCATTGCTGGAAAACAGATGCATATAAAGCTGCTTTGGATAGGGGTATGACCAAGACTATTGTGCCGATAGTAGTTACAGTGCCAACAACTCCTTTTATCAGTACAACAACTTCAACTGTTCCATTATCCGTCATGACATCAGAAATTGTTGTTTTATCCGCTTCGCAAACAACCACGGAGGCTCCTGTTTCTACTAGTCCAGCAACAGCTACTACTACGACTGTTACTGCTAATACCAATACTACAACTGCTACCATTACTACTACTTCTACCACTAATACTGCTGGCGAATTGAAAACTGATCCCCCCATGTTGTCAAAATCTTCTGCAGATAGCTTAAAGCCAGTGCCTGCTAATTTATTATCTCAAGGTAAAGGTGGACAAGGGATTCTAATGTCAGAAGTCTTCATTATAGTTTTTCAGATAAAGAGATAAGTAGTGAATCTGCTAAAGACATCTCTGATTTCAAATCAGACTCAAACAATACAAGTAATGCTGCTATTAATCAAGATAAACCAATCAAAGAGACCTTATCAATTGAACATTTGACCATTGGATTAATTCTACTCGGCATTGTGAATATACTACTACTATTCTGTTTCATTATGTTAGTATTGTGGATACGACGAAGAACTCGAAAGAACTTAAAACATCAATCCAGCAAATTAAGAGAGTTTGATAAATTTTACCAAGATTTCACAGGGATTGATGTTACTGGTAGTAATGGCATTTACGAAACCAGTCAGTATCCATTATTAATATCAAGTATCTCAGGTACCTATCTATCTGAATCGCATCCAAAATTGAATGTTCGGCATAATTCATTTCCTAATAGTTCTTTATCACGTTCACAGAATTCTGACACATTTTTACCAATCAGAAATAGCAATAATAATACTAGTACCAATAGTAACAATTATAACCCTGACAACAGTAATCAAAGTCAGCAGCATTTATTAGGTCGATCAACATCTTACTCAAGTACTGTATGGAATGGATCATTAAGAAATGGTTTGAATAAATGTAGTGCTAATGAAAATACGTCAGTATTGAGTAAAATGAATCGTACTCACAGTAAAGATAGGTGGGATTATCCATCGAATGGCTTTCCAGCTGAATATAATCATCACACTTCATCAACTCCATATTCAAGTCGACAACAGCTTCAATCCATCAATTCTTATCCATACCGTCGTGATGAGATAAATGTTCATCACAACCTTTTATCCTCCGATGCCATCTACATCTTCAACTGCTGTTATCGCAGCTGAAATTATTGCTCAGAAGGAAAGAGAACGAAAGTGTCTTTATGGCTCTCGAAGCCGTCTACCTAGTGAACAGCCATCTCCAACTCAACGCCATGAAATCAAACGATCACCTACGTCTAGTTACCGAAAGCATAAGAAAAGATCAATTTCATCTAAACCGCCAGTTGGAGTGAGTCGAAAGCCGCATACATTAGTTTTCGAAGGTGATAATGGGAGTGATAAAAATAAATGGCCAGAAAATTTTAAAACATCTTTACATGAATTGTAGTAATATCTTAATCCTTCGTTTATTAAATGCTTGAGGTAAGAATCTGAATTCCATTGTATTCAATATTCACGTGATAACTAGTAACCTATTTTTAAGAAATTAAGATAGCGGTAAAATTAAAGTTTGACTCAGGAATGTTAATTATTTACGATTTTATCTTCATTCAACTCATGTCAGTCATGTCAATTTAAAAATAGTTTTCCGTCTGTTAAGAAGATATAATTCGAATTTCCTTCCCATCTCTATAGCATCTCAGCTTCGCGTAGTCGACGATTGTCAAGTCATGACTTTATTCAGTAAACTTTCACCCACTGCACAAAAATTCCTTAAATACAATGGATTTGTGTATGTATAGTCGAGTCCTAATCTAACGTAGATTTTCCGTAGCATAAACCTCATGAAAATAGTATACTAGTGCTTTGTGTTTTCTCTTGAGTTTCATACTCAATAATGAGTTTTACTGTCAACAGTTCCTTCGCCATGAGGCAAAACTGTGAGTTTTGTGGTATGGAATAAAGTTTTAATGCAATTTTTTCCAATGAAAGCCTACAGAATAGAAATATTCCTTGCCCATCGTCAGAGTGATAATAAAAATCCCCTGTACTTAACGCTGAAATTTCCCTTAAACTTTCACTCTTTATTTCACCAAGTTCCTAGATGATTTCCCTTGGCTTCGATATACCGGGTGTTTACCCACAGTGAATGATACTTTTAAATATTACTGTCAATATTTTATTTAATTTAGTAAACATATCTGATTCCAGATTACAAACAAGCCATGTGACACGTTTTGGCTAAAAGTAATTCATAGTTTAGTAGCGCTTTAATGTTGGTATCATACCCACTCAACATCATAGAACAAAGTGAATGGAGATAGGAGGCATTCGCGGCATTTTATTGAAATCTAATCAAAACATATTCTATGTACAATTAAAATGATTCGCTGCGTCTTTTTGTTAATCTATGCTTTTAATTAATCGGTGATTATGAAAAAAAGGACACCAAGACAACATCAACGCTAACTACGCATGACTGGATTTGAGGGGAATAAAAAGCACAAAAAGAGCTCCACACAGTTTAAAATACAAAATTCTATATTCTGAGATTGTCTCAGCTGTAGAATGATAGGTCGTGTTGTTTTGTTAAATAATATATGATAAATTAACATATACGTCTTAGTTTTAGTGCAAACCAATTTTGTAATTGAATATACCTCGCTTATAGTTAATTAAAAATAGGAAAATAGATAAAAAGGACACTGTGCTGTCATTTTCAGTTAACTGCAGATCAGAAAATAGGAACTTTGATATCAATGAGATGCTTATGCAAATCTCTGAAGTTGAAGACAAGCCCTTTTCATGCGCACTGACAAGCATGAGTATTGAAGATTGACTACTACTTTCTAAAATTAACATATCCTTGATATCGAGTGATGGTTGGAGGTGAAATGAAAATCTGGGTAGCGTTAGGACTCCAACAATTGGCTTCCAGGTTACCGGAAGAGTGGTTTACCAACTGAGGTAAGAGACCTAACAGCTGGTCAAATCTTAGTTTCGTTCACCAAAGGTTTTGCCTAACTGTCATAGGAATTCGGCGTGTGTAACTGTTCGTTCTTCGTATTCACACTGGCAGTTCAGTCAGAACTTCTCATCATAATCGGAATCCAGCATATTTAAAGATAAGGTGGACTATACCGACTATTGGTTTGACTATTTGAAATAACTATGGTTTTGTAGAGTTGTATTATTCACCCCAAAGGATGATCGAAGGTAAAATGAAGACCTGGGTGTCAACATGATTGACATCATGCCAAAACCCTGTATCAGGAATACAAGTTCTCCAAAACACAACCATTTCAGATAGTCAAAACGATAACTGAAGTATTCATATTGCTGACAGTGTTTGACATGCTTTGTAATTATTTACTGATTCACTACATCTTGTTCACTCAGTTGATTGCATAACCACCTAACTATAACTTCAGCCAGGTTATTACTTCCATGACTTCAAGATACATAAAGTTAACTTTGTGCGTAGTCAAACACTCTTGAGTCTTAAACTGTAACTTTTGGGCCTTCACTACTACCTCGCAATACTTTTCCATCCAATCTGACGGTACCCATTAAATTTCAACCCTTTGATAACTACTAAGAACGTCTAATTACCGCATTATCCACTTCCAAACAGTCAAAACGTTACCCCCCAACCGTTATTGTTATGCTTTTAAACATATGCTAGATGGCTGACAGCGATTAGAAGAAAGCCATAGACCTAGGTTTCTGGCCCTTTGACACCCGTTCCCAGGCTGTATCTGTAACCCAGAGGGGACTGTTGTTCTCTGAGGGTTTCAAATCAGAACCACCCCATGCTCTAGTCACTGACGTTAATAGTGAACTGCCCAGACTGTGATGACCTATCGTAGGGTGGGATCAGATACACTGATTAGTCACTAGGTGTCAACTAACTTCATATAGCTCTATGCAAGATCAGTTGCAGCCTAAATAGATCCCGGTCAACATCTTTAACTACAGCGCTGAGTGATGTTTCAAATCTCCCAGAGAACACTTCTCTTTAGGTTCTAGATATACCATCAAGCGGGAAAATTTGCCAAGCAGGATTTCTTACTGACTACCTACAACCATCTAACATCAACCAAAGTGTAACATGGTGCTGTCTTCTAGCTTAATGGTCACACTGCCAAATGACCGATATAATTCGATCAACACTTAGGACTGGAAGAAATGAAATTGGTTATTCTACATTGACCAATCAAAGTACTTTTCATTTATCACTTGAACATCTGAAAAGTCCTATCAGCCATGAGGAGTAGTGGATAATATCTGTCACCAACTGAAACCTATTCAAGGAATCAGTGTTATGTTCTAAGATGTTAACCAAGGTGATAGGATGGCAGTCCTATAATGAACAGTAAAAACATACATAAATTGTACTTGTGAAATATTAATGAAATTCAAGTTTTTTCTAGTTCTCAGGTATGCCTTGTTGTAGATTGTCACCAGTAAGAAATAAATAGCTCAAGTTCATTATTTAAGAAATGTTTTTTGTTCGCACCACTGCTTAAGGCATAAGGTTTACTGGCCCTTAATGTTACATATCTCTTCAAGTAGTCACAAACTAGTGTGAATCATTTATTTCAGTGTCATTGTAGTAGAAAATGCTGATTTTTTTAATCAGTACCTTCATAACTCATTGACAATATTCCTCACTTCAGTCATAGGTGGCGTGGGTATGAGTTTTACGGGCAGCAACAGTTCTGTATTCGACTGGCTATCTATGGACAAACATGAAGCTCAGATTTAGAGCTCTCATTCAAATATTTCCAGTCATCTAACACTGCAGTTTTCAAGAACAGTGCATGACTTTCATTCTATGTCATTCTCTTGAACTATTTTCTATTCCATACAGAATCGAATTTTTTCAAGGATACAAATCTAGTATATTTGGTGAGCATTCGATGATGAGCTGAACCGTTTTAACGATTTCCTAATGTGTGTTGCTGTCTTAGTGACTAAGTTTTCACATCTAACCACCTCTTTTCATTTGGAAACGTCCACATGTTTACTGTGCACCTTTATTTCAAATGTCAAAGCGTTCCATCCGAATCATTTTGAAGACTTCAATCTACACATACTTGTTTTTATCCTACAAAAAAAGAAACGTGGGGTGCCAAAGCAAAAATCACAGATATACGTGACTAATCTCCGCATGTTTTTGTACGCTTTGTGACCAAGACAACCTCAGACTGACTAACCACAGTTTGCTGAATTCTACTATGAGTAGTCATTTTCTTCATTTACCTGAGGCTGCGCTAACGCGAATTAAAGAGTACGGATATTTTCTTCATATCTTCAGGGAAAATTTGAAATGTAGAGTCGCCCTAAACTCAATCCTTAGATATAAGTGTACTCATTTGTGTTGTACACCACTAATCCTTCTTTCTTCAATGATATTCTGTGACTATTTTGCACGTCGAAAGATAACCGGAAGCTATGATCAAAAGCTTTATGGATGATATCTCACGGTCACTTGAAATAATCCCTAGGAATTCTTCGGCAACAGCATCTTTCAGTAGCTTAGATTACACTTCAGCAATGTGTTTCGGCTCTCTTCTGAGATCAGGAAAAATGTTGTTATGATAAAACTCCCAGCCTGAAGAATAAAAAACGTTTTCAACCAAAGGAGGTAAATAGGTCAACAAACTAATAAATTTGTCATGCTGATATTCATCATGGACTGTCATCAGTTTAAGAACCATTGAAAACCTGATAGCACTTGACAGCCGTTTCGTCCTAGTGTTGGACTATTCAGCAGTGTACAGCCATAACCCCATCAGGGTTAGAAACCACGATATTCAGGTTCCACGGCCAGTACGTTACCATTTAGCCACTGAGTCAGAATCCTGAGGTTCACATTCCCCACTTCTATCAGTTGATGATGTAACCTGATCCTCGGGCAATACCAGTGTTGAGTAACTGTCTTCACGTCCGAATTAGCTGACACCCCCCGTCATGAATTCTCATTTAAGCTTCAGAAATTTTTTCTCGAATCAAGTCACTGGTGATCACTACAGTAAATCAGTTTGAAGGTTTGTGGGGATTCACTGATTGATTTTCGGCTGACATCCATGATGGGCTTAAATCAGTTAGAAAACCCCTGTAAATTAGGGGAGGACTGACTGAGTCATGGGTACGCACTGCTGAAGAGTCCTATATTA